CTCCATCTCCCACCTCCACAGGCCTAGTTAATTCTGGGAGCCCGAGAAGCCAGTGGCAGAGCTAAGCAGACAGCTGAGGAGGTGGAGAGAGCTGCTGAGAAGCTAGCATGTTCAGCTCTGAAATCTTGGGTGAAGCAGAGTTTCCCTCAGGCATCTAGGGTCCTGCTGCAGCTCTTGGTGTCTCGTGGAGCCTCTCCCCAACCCCCTGGGTTACAGCTGCCTCCTGGAGAGTGGCAGAACCCCCTTAGAACACAGCGACCCCCACGGAGCCTTCAGCTGTGCTCCCAGCAAGGGCAGCCCTCTCAGGGGGGGAGGGGCCCCTCCTGCTCTTGCCTTTGTCTTTCCTCCCCCCTCTGCCACATCAGGAGGACTCGGGGTGTGAAGGCCTCACAGGGGCTGGCAGATTGTGTCTCAACAACTGGACAGTCCCAAGCTCCTGGGCTGAGGCGTGGGGTAGATGCTCAGGGCAGGGCCAGCTCTTGGGCTGAGGCATGGGGTAGATGCTCAGGACAGGGCCGGTGTTGTCCCCGGCAGGATCCTGGTTTGAATGCCCAGGCCAGGCAGGGCTCTGTTCAAACCCTTGCCAGGTCATTCCTTCGCTGCATAACCTTAAACCAACAACAAAACTCTCTGGACTTCAGTTATCTTAACTCTAAAAGTGATGACAGTAGTACTCAATGGGTGGAATTTCCATGAGGATCAATCTAATTAAGGGAGGAGAGTTAACAATTACTCTATTTAACACAAAAATTACCTTAGAAGGTAATTCAGGTGAATGTTGAGCCCCTGACTGATGTGAAGAAACCCCAGCAGCCTGCAGCAGGCCTATGAGACATCTCCTTCCTGAACCACCAACCTCACACGTGGCCCTGCTGCTCTACTCTGAGCACGTGCTGCATCCTGAGCCTGCCAGGCTGTGGCATCATGTGGTGCGCACTGCAGGGCGTGCTCACACACACGGTGTTCGCACCCCTCCACCACAGGCAGCAGGGCCACCCTCTCTCTGCCCCTCAGGCCCTGACCCTCAGAACAATCTCTTACTCCAGCAAGATCCCTCCCAGCAAGAGCTCACAGCACCCATACATATTAGGCAGGCCAACGGCCCCTCAGGCAAGAAGACAACGACCAACTTGCCCAAGGTCACACATTAGGTCAGGAATGGAGTTGCAACTTCTGAGCCTGGCTGCTCATCCACACTGCCTGGTGCCTGTCACCTGGCATGGCCCCTGTGGGGAGACACTTAAGTGTGCTCAGAGGGGGGCGCACAGGCTCCCAGACACATGCTTGGAGCTCCCAGCACGTGGTACAAACACACACCCACAGAAAGCCGTGCAGTTAGGCATGTGCACGCGCACGCACACACACACACACACACACACGCGCGCGTGCCCTGTCGGCAGCCCATCTGCACTCCTCCTCACATGCAGCATGCGGGCAGCGGAGTGAGATGCCTGGCGGCTCCTGAGATCCCCCAGCAGGCAGGTGTACAGGAACACCTCCGGCCTAGAAGTAAGGTAAAGCAAGCCCTACGCCACAATGTGCTCTCTGCTCAGACCAACACAGGGATGGGGACCCAATCCAACCTTCTGCCCCACTCTCTCCAGCTTCCTGCAGGGCAGCAGGTGGTGGAGAACCCCCTCACCCAAGCCCAGGCCCCATTTCCACCGGAGGCCCTCTCCTCCCTCTTTCTTTTGTTGTTGTTATTGTTTCTTAGGGTTTTTTATGTTAATCTTCACCCAAGGATGTTTTTCCCATTGACTTTTAGAGAGAATGGAAGGGAGGGAGAGAGACAGAGAGAAACATCCATCTGAGAGAGACACATTGATTGGTTGCCTCCCAGGAGGGGCTGGAGATTAAGCCTGCAACTGAGGTACATGCCCTTGACTGGAATTGAACACATTACCCTTCAGTCCATGGCTGACTCTCTAACCACTGAGTCAAACCAGCTAGGGCTCCTCTTTCAAGTAGACGCCCTTTCCTGTAGACTCCCCATCTACCCATCCCTGGTCTGTGTCCTCCCAGAAAGGAGCCCAGCAAGCAGCACTCGGTGGAGGCGGTGGCCTCGAGTGCAGGTCCTGCTGCCCCATCCCCAGAATGCTGTCCCCATACGAAGCATGGCAGGCAGGTCTCCACAATGCAGACCCACAGGCCGTGTGTTGCAAGGCGGCAGGACACGGCTGACCCTCGTACTCTAGGGAAATGTGACGGGAATGTTCCCTGGGGAGCTGACTCTGCCTCCTTGGGCACCAGAGAAGTGACCCTTCAGGAAATATGGGCTTGAGCCCAGCACTTTCCAGCTCCTTAGCCCTCTGCCCATCGGCACACCTCCAACCAAAGGACTCCTTCCTGCCTCCAAAAGTCCCCCCTGCCTCACTAGGAAAGGGGTGGCCTACATTAGGAAGCTGGGGGAGCAGTGGCTGCAGCAAGCACGGCCAGCTGCTGGGTAAATTAATGCCATCCAGGAGGGCAGTCCCTGCCCAGGGTGGAGAATGAGGGTGGAAAGAGTCAGGGGGTCCTTCCAGAAAGATCTCCTGCCTCCAAGTCCCACCACCTTGGAGCTCTGGGTGCTGGACTTGCTCTCAGTCCTCATAAGACTTTCTGTCCCAGTCCCAAGACAAAGAGACCAGGGTCCTCCTTCACTGGGCTTTTCTGGGAGAACTTGGACTGGATGACAGGGTTCATGAGCGACAAGCAGTCAAATGGGGAAGTCCCTGCGAACAAAGGCGGTGTGCTCCAACCCTTTGCCGCTCACAGTGTGGTCCATGGACCGGCAGCATGGGCTGACCTAGGAACTTCTTAGAAATGCAGAATCGCAGGCCCCACCCCAGGCCTGAATCAGCATTTTAATGTCTTGGCTGGTGTGGCTCGGTGGCTAGAGTGTTGGCCCATGCACCAAAGAGTAGAGGGTGCAATTCTCAGTCAAGGGCACTTACCTGGGTTGCAGGTTTGATCCCCTGCCCCAGTTGGGGTGTGTGGGGGAAGCAACCAATCAATGTGTCTCACATCGATATTTCTCTCTCTCTCTCTCTCTCTCTCCCCACCCCTCCTAACCTCCCTCCCTTCCTCTCTCTCTAAAGATCAATAGAAAAAATATCCTCGGGTGAGGATTTTTAAAAAATCAGAATCAGCATTTTCACAAGATCCAGACAATTTGTATGCATATCTAAGTTTGAGAAGACTGGGCTCGATCACATCTCTCCCAGCCAATCCTGCACCTCCTAGGAGGTCATGCTGGTCAGTCTCTGGAAGCCAGTCACCAGGCAGGGAGTGGCAAGGACCTGGGCAGAGAGGTGAGGGTATTCACATTAGCACCTCCCTCCAGAAGCCTCTGGATGGGGAGAAGCTATCACCATAGCTGCAAACGCCTGTGTTCTTAGTCCTCATAACAACTCCCTGAGGTTACTGGTACTATTAACACCATGTTATAGAGGGGAAACTGAGGCACGGGAAGTTAGGTAACTTCCCTCAGGTTAGGTAATGGAAGAATACAGCTTTGGGCCCGAGTGGTCGGTGGCAAAGCTCCTAACTCAGCTGCCTTTACAGGTCTAGGTCTGTTCTGCCCTGATCTGCCCACACACCGAGGTTCCCGATATAGGAAGGAAAGGGCAGGGCAGGGCAGGTGCAACCTTCCGCTTGTGCAGAATCTCACAGTAACGGCATCTCCTCATTTGCTCTCTCACTAGAGCTGAGGAGACATGGGTTCTTTCCCCTCCTACTAATGGGGATGCGAGCTCTGTGCCCTGCTGCACTGAGATGCCACCGGGCCTCTCCCAGCTGCCCTCTGTCCAGAAGTAACGCAGATGCAGCAGGGATAGCCCCAGGGGCCAAGATCTGGTCAAGGGAGTGGAGGGGGCTTTCTAGAAACCCTTCCGGTGGGGGGTTGAGTGCTGAGGTGAGGAGGGTGAGCTGGGAGCTCAGGAAGCCAGGGCTGGGAAGGTAGCAATGGAACAGGAGGCAGCAGTGAGAGCGGAAGGTTCCTTGTGCTCCTGCCGAGCTGAGTGGGTGTGGCGTCCCCTGGAGACAGGGGTGGGATCTGCCTCCCCAGGGGTCACCTCACCTCAGCCCCATGGCGAGGAGCAGCCTGCCTGCTCTCATTCCCTGCAGATGCTGGGGTTAGGACTGGGAGCCTGACCTCTCCGTGCCTGGGCCCAGCCATCTCTCCCCCAGGTGGAGGTTAATCCTCCAAGTGGAGTGGGCTCAGAATCCAGCTGGCAACTACCAAGAAACCCACCTCAGGCCTGGCATCCGTGCCCTTCCTCTGATGCTTCTGCCTGTCCATCCCCCCAAGTCAAGTGTCCAAACCACGCAGCCGGCAAATGCTGATTGTGCCTGGACCTGGGGTTCCTGGCCCCTGAGACGCGCGCTGGCCCTGCTGTGTGCAGGCTGCCTGGTCTCTCCCTTTGGTCAAGGCTCCTAGACTCAGGTTAAGGGTCTCCCTCAGCACCAGACTCACAGAACCTAGAAGCAAAGGGGCCTTTGCCGCCTCCTCTGCACCTCCTTTGTTCTGCAGAGAGGTGAAGGCCACCGGCTAGTGAGAGGCAGGGCCGGGGTTGGAGCCACTTCACAGGGTCCTCCCCACCCCAGGAGGGCAGAGAGCCCTGGGTGGTGGATGCCCCAGGCTGAGCCCTGTGTGGCAGGGGCCGTACAGAGCTGGGCTCTCCTCCTGCCACTCCAGCCTGACGGTCAGGCCCTTTCAGGAAACATTCTCAATCTTTCCCTGCCGGTCATCCCCAAGCACATGCTGCCAGCAGCACGGAAGCAGGCTTTCCATCTCTATATTTGTACTTGGAACAGACAAACCCTCCTGGTTCATTTTCAAATGCACTCCCCCTTCTCACCCCTGGCTTCCTGCACCTGGTTTCCTGGTGCAACGTTCCCAATCCCAGACAGACCCTCGGGAAGCGGAACAGAAAAACCCCTCGTCACTCCTCATGAATGAGCTACGTGCTCACTGAGGCCCTGGATCTGGGCTCAGGGCTGGGCTGGCAGGCCAGGGGAGGCCTGATCTGGGAGTTAGGAGGGAGGCCCTGAGAGGGGAGAGACTGCCTCTGCTTACACTCCTTCTCCTCTCCCCACCCCAGAGGTCCCCAGATACCCCAATGTTACATAAATCCCTGCCCCCTCAGCATGCTGCCCACCCAGCCCAAAGCAGCCTCCCACCCAGGCTTTGGTACCTAGGAAATGGGACAGAGTTTGCCTATCTGAGCCCCAGACACAGTTTCCAGCCAAATCCCAAAGAAACCAGATTGGTTTCTTTAAAAACCTTCCTCTTTCTCCTGCCACCCCCGGCTGGCTTTCCTGGTCTCCCTCTTTGGCAGCGCCAGGGACTGTGCCGATGGGGAGGTGGGGTGGGAAGTGCAGGAAGCTGCTGTGGGTTTCCCTTCAGCCTGGACTTCCCCCGCCCATCTCCACGTGCTCAGCTGCCCTCCCCTCCCCCAGCCGGTGGAGTTATCTAAGCTGCAGAGTGTCAATCTGAGTCACAGAGAGGTGGTGCCCAACATGCCATAACAGCCAGGAGCAGCCTCCCCACCATCACCCCTGAAATACAGACTGCACGGCTCAGGGGAAGACAAAGCAGCCGACCTGGAACTGAGTGGGAGGTCGGGACGAGGTCGGGACTCCTAGTCAGGCCCCCTATCTCTGCATCATCAAAATGAGCCTCGGGGCTGCGGAGAGCGGCTGTCCTGATCCCACTCAGGGACCCATGCCCCACTGGGTCGGGAAGCCAGGTCGGCATGCCTGGCTGCAGACCACCGACCCCCCTCAGCTAGGTCCACAGCCCCCACTAAGCCTCAGGACCACGAGGAGCCAGGCCTGGGGTTTGCCAAGGAAGAGCTACAAGCCTCTTCTCCCCCATCCACTCCCAGCCACGCCCCCACCAGGTGGCTTCCCCACAGCTCTATGGACCCATGTCCAGCGAGGGAAGGGCTCCTCCACAGCTTTGTCCAAGGACAGCTGCCCAAAGGCCCCAGCCCCACGCTGAGGGCTCCTGAAAAGAGGCTGGGACCAGGAGGTCAATTCCTGTGCCCCAGACAGCTCAGCGCTCCAGCCTGCCACCCCCATGCTGAGCCACGGCGCTCTGTCCCAGCCCTGTCGCCAGCACCTCCTTTCCCACAGAGCCCAACTTCCTCAGGCCGTCTGCTGAGCCAGGCGTGCAGACGGCACAGGGCTCTTGGCTGTCTGTCCCCTTGCCGCAGGGACTGGTTTCTATGCCACACAGGCCTGTCATCTGGCACTGGCACTGCCCTCCTCACCCCTGCCTTTCCCAAGCTTCCCCCTCCCCAGCAGAATCCTAGCTCATGTCCTCAACACTGTGAGGTCAGTTCCCTATGTCCTGTCTCTATGGCCTGCCCAGATGCCCAAGCCTGAGCACTGCCCCAGCCCCAGCAACTGCCCCCAGGCAGGAGGCGGCAGCAGCTCTCCATGTGTGCAGGGCAGAGACCCAGCAAAGACAGGACCCAAGTCCCCATGCCCCAGCCACCCTGTACCCACGAATCCTTTATTTCTTCCCACCAGCGCACAGCACTCACCTTTCTCCACCCTGACCTCAAGCTCCTTAAACCAAGTAGCTGTGAGCCGTTCAATGAGCCCCTCCTGGGATTCCTGGAGAAATCCAGACAGCACAGCCAAGTGGAGCGCAGTGGGCACCGAGTCTCCAATCCACCGCGAGCGAGCGGGGACCTGGCACGCAGCAAACAGCCTGGGGAGGAGGAATGCCTGCCGCCGCTGCTGCCAAGGGGACGGGGCTGCTGGGTCAATAACAAACTGAGAGGGGAAGAGGGAGGGACAGAGGTAGACAGATCGAGAGGGGAAGCCAGGGGAGAGGAGGAGAGAGCACGCGCGAGCACAGAGACGGAGCAATGGAGTGACAGCTGGGGGTACATCTGTGATGACAGCGACAGTAGCACACACAGGCTAAGGCGCGCGCACACGGGCGCACACACACCACAGGCGCTCGCGGCGGCGGGGAGGGCAGCGCTCACCCTTGAAACGCTCACATTTCAGTGGAAAAAAAGGCCTGTGGATTAATCGCTCCCAACTCCAGGGAGGAGAAAGCTGTTTTCCCGTGTACCTCCATCTTCCTTCCCCGCGCTGTCCCCACTCTCCCCACCCCTGGCCGCGCCCCTTCTCAGCCTCTCCCCCTCTCTCCCTTCCCCTTTGGGGAAAGGGTGTGGTCAGGACCCAGCGGCAGAGAGGTCCCTGGGAAGCTAGGTCTGTCTCAGGTCAGAGACAGGTGGGGCGGCATCTCCCTTCCTGCCTGTGGAGAAGGAAAAACCCTTCTCTAGGTCCAGGGGGCATTTATTTCAGGCAGGGTAATTGGAGGGCTCAGCGGGGGCAACTGCCTGCTGTCCTCAGGAGGAGCCAGGAGCCTCCCAGCCAGGGTCTGGGATCACTGAGCCTCAGCAACCACAGAGCCAGGCTGTTCAGTGGAGCAAAATGTCAGACCTGCTGGCACGGGTGGCAGGTGTCTGTGTGCCCTGGGGGAGGGAAGTGTGGTGTTCAGAGCTCAGCGGCCTCTTTACTAACCAGGTTGGAGAAGCCGATATTCCAAGAGATGGACAGTGTCCTGTCCAAAGGCAAAGGAAGCTGAGCCAGGGAGGAGCCTGGCCTGGGAACTGACCCCTAAATGACCCTTCTCTGCAGTTCTTACCACTGGCCTGACAAGCAGATGGCAAGCAGTGTGGCATGTTGGCAATGCCAGGGGTATGCTAGTGTGCCTCTTCCATTCTGCATGCTTTCCTGGGGGACTCACCATCAAAACTGAGGGTGGGGTTGAGTAATGCCCCTTAACTCAGGACATTCCTGATAGGGCGCTTCTGCACCCTCCTTTCCGTCTGCTCTTCTGGGCAACACGGCAGTGGGGGGCCGGGCTGCTGTTGCAGGAGGAGAGAGCATCTTGTACCTCCTGAGAAGTCCCCTCTCACCTACTCGGATGTCAGATGCCTTCAAGCTAAATGGCCCCATCTACCCCTAAACAGCTTCCCAATTCACAGCCCCAGAAAGTGTTTCCTTCCCTGAGGCTGGAATGAGCTCCTGAAAAACTCAACCTGAGCATGACCTCCTCTGTGAAGTGTCCCTGCTTAGTCCACAGCCTTGACCTTCTCCTCTGATCGATGGCCTTTCTTAGGGCCACCCTGTCGTTACCACAGAAAACGTATGGCAGCTTTCTGCGATTGGTTTGCCCACTTGCCCATGCTGTGAGCAGTTCTAGATGAGAGCCTCTGCCTCACCCAGCCCAAAGCTGATAGGGAATAGAAGGGAAGAGACCAAGCCCGCGTCTCAGAGGACAGGCACAGAGTCAAACTCCGCTGCTCAGTAACTAGCTCAGGGGTTTTCAACCTTTGTCATGGCACACATTAACTACTAAAACAAACTAATTACTAAAATTCTGAGGCACACCAAAAAATATGGCTTTTGTCGATCTGACCAAAAAATAGGTATAATTCTGATTCATTCATACTGGACAGCTACTGTTGTGTTGGCTGCTGTCATTTTTTATTTGACAACCTAAGGGAAAATAGGTCAGTGCCCCTGACTAAACAACCAGGTATTGCATGTTTTACATATTTTGTGGCACACCAGTGTGCCTCTTGTGCCTCTTGTGGCACACTGGTTAAAAATGGCTGAACTGGCTAATAACTGGTTAATTAATTGACAGCCCTGGGCCTCGGTGTCCTGCCTATAGAATGGGAGCAGAGTGATTGAGATGTCTGGTTTCCCTTCTGGCAATGGTGCTCTATCATCCAAGATTTCACGGAGCAGCTGCAGACTTCCCAGCCTGTATCAGGAGAGGTGGCCCCTCCTCAGCCCAATGTCTGTAGGCTCAGTTATCTAGGCAGAGGAGAAGGGAGGACAAAATAGATATGAGAGCTAGCGGGTAAAAGCTGAGTTTCTGACTCCTTGGGTGTCAGGCACCTGACAAGGATCATTTAGGAGTGTGGGGGGCGGGGGTACATGAGTGTGTGTGTGTGCACAGCTGTTTTATTTTGCTTTCTGTGATGACAAAGCAGACCGAGGTGACAGCCAGGATAAAGAGCAAAGAGGTTCATCTTGATAAGCCTTCTGCTGTCTGTGGCCTTATTGAGGCTCTTTGTTAGGTTGTCTGCCAGCCAAGGGGATCTTAACGAAATGCTGCTTTGGAACAGAGCAGGAGATTGTGGAGAAGCAGATGAGAGAAAGGAGGGAGAAGGCAGGCTGGGCTAAGGCAAGGAGAAAAGGGTCTGATTTCTCCTCTATCAGGGGATCAAGGTCAGGGTCTAAAACAAGGGCCCACACACAGAGGCATGAGGTGGGGTTGGTCTCTCTCTTTTTTTAAATCTTTATTGTTTAGAGTATTACAGATGTCCTCCTTCTTTCTCCCATTGTCCCCCTCCACCAGTTCCTGCCCCACCCTAGGTCTTCACCACCCTATTGTCTGTGTCCATAAGTAATGCATATATGCACATAAGATCCTTGATTAATCTCTTCCCACACCCCCCTCACCCCTTCTTTCTGAGATTCATCCGTCTGTTCCACATTTCCATGCCTCTGATTCTATTTTATTCATCCATTTAGTCTGTTCAATAGATTTCTTATTGAGTTGTATGGGCACACTCTTGTAGGTAATTAACTGCTTTTCTCTTGCTGTTTGTAAGATCTTTGTCTTTAGCTCTTGGCATTTTAATTATAATGTGTCTTGGTGTGGGACTCTCTGTGCTTCCTGGACTTATAAGTCTCTTTCTTTCACCAGGTAGGGGAAGTTTTCTGTCATTATTTCTTTAAATAAATTTTTAATATCTTGCTCTCTCTTCTTTTTCTGGCACCCCCGCCCCCCGTAATGCAAATGTTGGTGCACTTAAAATTGTTCTAGAGGCTCCTTTAGTATAACTATCTTCATATTCTTGAATTCTTATTTCTTTTTGCTCTTCTGATTGGGTGTTTTTTGCTTTCTCATATTCCAAATCATTGATTTGATTCTCAGAATCCTCTGCTGTTGAATCCCTGTAAATTATTTTTTTAGTTAGTGTATGCTTAATTTCTGAATTGTCCTTTTTCATGTCTTTGACATTCTCACTAAGATCCTTAAAAGTCTCACTAAGTCCCTTGAAGCTCTCTTGAATCCCTTGAAGCTCTGATTAAGTCCCTTGAATCTCTCAGTAAGATCCTTGATTAACCTTATAAACATGTATTTGAACTCTGTATTCAATAGTTTGCTTGCTTCCATTTCTTTCATTGGGGACATGTTTCTTTTTCTCCCAATTTTGGCTGCTTCCCTGTGTTTGTTTCTATGTATTGGGTAGAGCTGCTATGTCTCCTGGAATTGCTAAAGTGGCCTTGTGTAGTAGGTGTCCTGTAGGGCCCAGTGGCTCAGCCTCCCCATTAACCTAAGCTGGACACTCTAGGTGTGCCCCTGTGTGGTCTGTGTGCATAGTCTTATTGTAGTTGAGTCTTTTTTAAAAAAAAAAAATGTGTTATTGCTTAAAGTATTACAAAGAGCATTACATATATCTCCTTTTGTAGTTCAGTCTTGATTGCTATTGGCATCACTGGGAGGAATTGATCTCCAGGCCAATTGGCTGTGAGGACCAGCTGCAACTACAGTGGAACAGCAGCTGTACAGGACATCCCTATGGAGCAGGACTTGCTTCAGTGGGGCTTTGGTGCTCACTGAGTCTGTCCTTGAGTGTGTTGCTTGTGGATGTGTAGAGTTATAATCTGGTATGGTCTTAAGCTATCCACCAGGTGCACTGGCTCTGAGGCCTCTTGGGAGTGCAAAGTCAGCCACTGCCTGGGGCCACCTGGTAGGAGCTACAGAGAGATCTAAAGATGGCTGCTACTTGTATTGGGCTAAGAAGTGCCCAGGTGAGGCCCAGCTGTGCAGTAAGGCAGGCTGGTGGTAATGCCAGGTCATGAGTCTTTTATTCATAAGTTTGGGGCATGCTGATACCAGATGCTGCTTGTTTGAGAGATTTTAGGAAAGTCTGAAGCATGAATCAGGACAGGCCATTCATATGGAAAAGCCATTGCAAACAGCTTATGTGGGGCTGCAAATTAGATGGGGCAGGTTCTCGGGGAATCACCAGGGCGAAACGAACAATGTGGGCCATGCTGGTGAAAACTCAGATATGGCTTCCTGTTAGCTCTATGATGGAGGAGGTCCCAGCACAGGAAGAATAACCCCTGTGAGCACTCCTGTCTTGGAGAAAGCCATCCCTGAGTTCCTGCCACATGCCAGACAGTGAAGTTCCTCCATATATCCCTGGATTCCTTCAAAGCCACCAGGCACTGGAGCTCAGAGGAAATGGGCCTTTTAAGAGGAACACCTGGGTCTCCAGCAGCCTCCATGTCACTCAGTCACAATGCCTGCTGGTTTTTACAGCTCGAAGTTATGAGGACTTCTCTTCCCAGCTCTGGAACCCTGGGCTGGAGGTCTGGTGTGGGTCTGGGACTCCCTGATTCTTATGGTAGGCCTTGGAGATATCCCTCCCAATTAAAGAAACACCACAGATGGGTGTCAGAACAGCCCGTTCTACAAATTCCATAGGTCTCAGTGTGCTTTCTTCTTTACTTCTCTAGTTGTAGGACTTCCATTCAGCCAGATTTCAGGTGGTTCTGAATGACAGTTGCTCTGTATTTTAGCTGTAATTTTGATGTGATTGTGGAAGGCAGCGTGTACCAGCATTTAACTACGCCACCATCTTGGTTCTCTTGGGGGTGGTCTCTTAATAATCCATGAGGGTTGGGGGGAAGCCGCCCTAAAAGGCTAAGTGCCACTCATTCCCTGTGCCCTTTTGCTTGGATTTCTCTCTTCACCATGAGTTAGTTCTGAGCCTGCCTGCGAACAGTGTCATGAGGTATTACCTCCTGCACACAGTAGGCTTCTTAGGAAGTACTGGGAGGAGGGCAGCCAGCCTAGTGCTCCCCCAGG